GCTAGAGAGGTCTACAGAAATCCACAAAGATACCCCCACAATAGACTGCTGGCTATGGTTGAGAGACAGCCGGAACTGACCTACTCTGATGATAGGATGGCCAAACATCCTAATTGTTGTGCTAGAAACCCCATCCAATGGCTGAGGGAACCAGACGCAGAGATCCATGGCCAGGCCCCAGGAGTCCAACTGGTGAGAAAGGAGAGTTTGTGTGAGTGAGAATTGTTGAGACCAAGGTTGGAAAAAGCACAGGGACAAATATCCAAATGAAAGGAAACACATGAACTATGAACCAATAGCTGAGGAGCCCCCAACTGGATCAGGCCCTCTAAATAAATAAGACAGTTGATTAGCTTGATCTGCTTGGGAGGCATCCAGACAGTGGGACCAGGTCCTGTCCTCAGTGCATGAACTGGCTGTTTGCAACCTGGGGCTTATACAGGGACACTTGGCTCAGCCTGGGAGGAGGGACCTGGACCTGCCTGGACTGAATCTATCAGGTTGAACTCAATCCTCAAGGGAGTCTTTGCCCTGGAGGAGATGGGAATGGGGAGTGAACTGGGGGAAAGGCAGGGAGGGAGGAGAGGGGGGAGAACAAGGGAATCCATGGCTGATATGTAAAGTTAAATTTAATAAATAAATTAAAAAATCTAGAAGATTCTGACAGCCTCTGGTCCTTTGTTAACAATGTGAATCTGGAAACACTGGTTCTGATATCAATGAAGTTATCTGTAGCAGTAACAACAGAGTAAGTCTACCCAGGGACAGGTGAAAAGACCAAAGAACAAAAGGTGAATAGTCTTCTTTCTATCATATGTTTACTGGGAGCTCCCAGAAAGCTCCCTGCACTCAGGGAGGGTAGTCTCTCATCAACTGAGACAATCAGGTCAACTCTTCATTTAATAACTCTATATTCAGGGGATTCTAATGTATGTTAAGTTGAAATTAAAACCAACCATCACACAGCATCATCCACATGACACCAGTTTTGTAGGCATGAGTGACTCAAGCATGAGGGGAATCAAGAGATCTTGTCCTAAGATTCCATAAGACTTATGGTACCAGGTATTATGTATCATGAACAGTTTATCTGGAAAATTAACTTGAGAAGCCATTGAATAAAGGCATGTGGATACATCCCAAGCTGCGTTAGAAGCCTCAGTCTGTTCAGTTGCCAAGATCATGAGAAATCCACTAATGAAAACTACAGACATAGGATGCAGCTATTCCAAGAGAGAGGCTATATGTGTCTCGGGTGTCAGAATTGGAGGTTCAGGAATGATAAAGGCCATTGGATCTCAAATGATTCTTCCTTAAGCCCTAGATGCTGCATATGAAGCTGGAAGGTTTGGAGTTTGCAGGACTGGGTTTGTTCTTGTTTCAGCCTGTTTTTTTTTTCTTTGCTATGTCTACATTTATTCCTTGTAGAATAAGAAGGATTACTCTGCATCATTGTGTATTGGAAGCATGTTGCTTGCAATTTTGTATTTCACAGTCATGTTGAGTCTCAAAAGATACTTGGGACTTTGTACTTTTGGAAAGTATTAGGATGTTCTCAGAGCATGATCAAATGAAACTAGATCATCTTCCATAAAAATCTCACAATGATTTTATCCCAGTTCCTGGTGATTTTGTTCCCCTGCGAAACTTCATAAACACAATCTACACTTTCCATGTCTCTCTCAACGTTCTGATCTTCCAAACTCCCATCAGAATGGTGTATTGGATAACTAATTGGGGTGTTCTTCTCTGAGGAAGATTGTTTCTACCATTTTCAGCATTCCTTCCTTGCCTGGAGTTGTTTTGGGTTGGGTTGAGATCTTGGGATCTTTGCCTCATGCATGCACTTTGGCCTTTTAATCTAGCTATAGAATATAACAGACTTTGTAAAGAAATAGTCATAACACATGCAAGGTAAATAAAAATAAAAATAATGTTAACTTGGAGATTTACTGGTGCTAAGTCCCCATAAGAATACCAAGATGAAGTTCATGAGAACTGAGAAGAGGTCAGAATAACATGAAAGCCTTCCCAGTGGTAATAATGTCCTCAAATACTTTGAGGAAATTATTCCAGATGTGGGAAGGAACACAGCATGTGGAAACCACAGTCAAGGCACAGCTGAGTCACAGCTTGAGTCCATGATAAGAGCCTTCAAATTATTGGGTTTTAAACACTATCAATGAATGCCTGAGAAAGACTTAACTTACTTGATCTGAACTGTACCAAGAACTCCTGTGAGACCTTCCCTAAAGTATGTCACACAACCTCTCAGTGCCCATGAGAGGGTACACTGCCCTCAGTATCTGCAGGTTGTTATAGGTGGCTTTTAAGGGCCACCTCTTAAGAAAGGTCTAAAGACTATATAGACTTTTGATTGTAAAGTGATGGAAGAACTGCAAAGACACCACAAATATTAGCCTTGTTATCAAAGAAGAGACCCCAAGGAAATATATGGATAGCAGGATAATTATACATTTAGAAAATCAATGTCCTTGATATGCTTTAAAAGATCTTCCCCATAGGATCATCTTATACGACAATTTTAGTAAAGTGTTTTCATAGTAGAATATGGGAATTTGAAGAAATTACATCAAATGTTATTAAAATGCAGAGTCACTTACTTGGAAGTTTATGGGCTGTACAAAGTCAAGGATCGAGTAAATTTACCTTGTGCTTCCTGTGCTTACTGTTAAACTATATCTACACACTCCCTTGCATCTGAGTGTGTCATGTGATAGGATTTTGAGGAGAACACTAAAGGGAGAAATTATGGTTTTTATTTTCATTTCAATACCTGACCATTTTCCATTCTCTCTCTCTCTTAAACACAGTGACTCTGTAATTCCAGGGCTTATAGTTTTGAAATTGGTAATTGAAGTTGGCATCAGTATATAACTGATTAACAGTAGGCATTCACATAACAATAAAGTATTAATTTATAAGTAAAATTGAAATAACATCCTCAAATCCCAGCGGCTCCTTAACAATAGAAACTATTTATATTTAGCCCAATGGTCTCCTAGCTAGCTCACTGTTTAAAAAAAAACCAGGTGAGACTATGAAGCAGGGTGGAAGCATTCATTAACATTAGGTGGGATGACACCTGGTATTCTGACTGCATTGTTGTTAGTTCTGAATCCCAATTCATAGCTTAGCATGACACAGTGGCAAAAGGCTGAGGAAAGGGACAATTGTAAGTCAGAGATAGTTAATAGACCAAGCTGTTGATAAAAGAGCCACAGAGCCCAAGTACTCTCATGTGTTAGCATTAAACAAGCCAACTAAATAAAGACAACTGCATTGTGATTCTGGGTTTTAAATCTATTTTTATTTTTATTTTTTTATGTTTTTTTTTTTTTTTTGAGACAGGATTTCTCTGTGTAGCTTTGCACCTTTCCTGGAACTCGCTTTGGAGACCAGGCTGGCCTCGAACTCACAGAGATCTGCCTGCCTCTGGGATTAAAGGCGTGCACCGCCACCGCCTGGCATAAATCTATTTTTATATTAAAATGTTTAAATTTATTTTATATTCCAACCACAGATTCCCCCCTCTTCCCTCCTCCTGCCCCCCCAAGCCTACCCCACCCACCTACCCACCTTCCATCCCCTCCTCCAAAAGTGTGAGGCCTCCCATGGGGAGTCAGCAAAGCCTGATACATTCAGTTGAGGCAGGACCAAGACCCTCTCTGCTTTATCAGGGGCGAGCAAGGTGTCCAACCCTAGGTAATGGGATCCAGAAAGCTGGCTCATGCACTAGGGATAGATCCTGATCACATTGCCAAGGGCCCCTCAAACAGACCCAGCTACACAACTGTCTCCTGTATGCAGAGGGTCTAGTCTGGTCCCATGCATGTTCCACAGCTGTCGGTCTAAAGTTTGTGAGCTCCTACAAGCTTGGTTCAGTTGTCTCTGCAGATTTCCCCATCATGATCTTGACTCCCCTTGCTCATATAATCCCTCTGTCCCCTCATTGACTGGACTCCCGGAGTTTGCCTGATGCTTGTTAAATCTTTAACATTATTGAAAATCAAGTTTTCATCTTACTTAGAAATTTATTTTGAAAGGAATTGATACTCATATACATATTGTTTTCTCCTTTTAAATGTTCTGGGGAGACACATGAGTTTTACACTATCAATCTCCATATCTCAAGAGCAAAATTAAATATTTTAAGAATAAATTTATAATGTTAAGTGAGCTTCACAACAATCTAGTTTCTGAAGACATCCAATGTCCCCAGATGGTTCTTTCTGCTTGTGTGAGGCTGGTTCATGTTTCCACCATGGGTTCTTGACAAGCTCTGTCCCAGCATCCATGCCTCATACACAACTGTGATATAAGGGGAATCTCACAGTGTCTTCACCTTAGCCCTCATGGAGCAATGTTCTTAAAGTCTATCAGTCTGCAGCACTCAGTACCACATTGCTCCTTCGCACTGATGAATCATTCACTTTTAGAAGAGTGTAACACTCTGATAGCCTGGCTCCAGTTACTGCACATTTGAACTATTTCCAGAATTTTACATTTTTACCTTTATAAATAAATTTTCTGTGAATATTTTTACAGTCTTTGTGTATACATATATTTACACTTTTCTTGGGTTGGTCCATGTATATAAGGGTCCCAAGAACTTCTGTAACAAAAATATTTGGCTGTATGCACATGAGAAATCTTTTGGTTTACTTGGATATTCTACTATTACAACAATATATACATATATATATATATATATATATGTATATGTATATATTTTGTTGTCCTAACATTAAAGAAAGTCTGCTGAGTGTTATACATTTTTCAATATTTCATTGGTGGTATTTTGAAATGTTACTGATTTTTCTATTTACAATGTTATTACATTCATTAGTTTCAAGAAGATTTCATGTGTGTACATGTTGGTGTGTTAGCAAGTAAGGGAATAAAGAATGCCATGTCTTCACAATCTAGAATTTCTTGTATTTTGCATTCTGTTTACAACAGTGGCGATGATAAATTGTTGAACCAAGGTGACAACAGTATGGCTGGGGAGATGTCTCAGTGGTTAAAGTGTTTTTGTGCAAGTGTGAAGACTAGGGTTTGGATCCACAGAAACCATGTGAAGACTGTGTTGGTATGCCAACCAACCAAAATCTCAGCAGATAGGAGGAGAAGACAGGGAAACTCTGGAGCAAGCTGGCTAGCCAGACCAACCAAAATGGTGAGCTCATATTCAGCAAGAGAGTCTGCTTCACTAGGTGAGGTGGAGAATAACTGAGGAAGATACCTACTGTCAGCTTCTAGGCTCTACATGAACAGAGAGAGAGAGAGAGAGAGAGAGAAGGCAGGAGGGAGGGAGGGAGGGACAGAGAGAGAGGGACAGAGAGGTGACAGATATGCTTGGTTATTTGCATATTGTGAGAAGAAAGACTAACATTGTATCAGTTGTTTAGCTTCTAAGGACAAACTTTTGTATTCATGGGTTACACAACAATCCTTATATAATACTTCCTGTATCTGTCTAGTGTAGCCTTAGCTGACTATTCATAAGTTAGTTTCCTAACATGAAGCTTAGTGTTTGGACATGACATCTTCCATCTTTGTACTAACAGATAATGACCTTGATTCCTTCAATTGCTATCCTAGAGCTGTCTTTTATTTTGTTCTTATCTATTTTTTTTCATTTACCATGTGGTCTCTTCTTTCACTTACAGATCATTTAAAAATGTTTTATTCAGTATCTGAATATTTGGAGATTATCCATATTCTTTATTATTCCTTACTTTATTGCAGTATAAAATCCCACTCTGTTTATATTTACTGAGGTTTGCTTTAAGGCTTAGTTTATAATCCACTATTGAATGTAATGTTATTTGTGGAGGTTGTTTGTACAAATGTAGGTCAAAGCTGTTCAAATTCTCCATGTAACCAATGATTTTTCTATCCACATGTCCTATCAATTATTGGCAGTGAGATATTTCATTATTATCTTGCACCTTTTAAAATCTTTCTCTTTCTATTATATAACATTCCCTTAAGCATTGGGCATAATGCTTTTATGTGTGTGTATATTCACAATTTTGATGACTTTTTGGCAAGGTCCTCATTTTTCTCATGAAATGTACACCTCTAGTTATTATTTATTGTTTTGAAGTTCTTCTTGCTTTCATCATAGACTAATGCAACATTATGGTTACTCTTTTACCAATTATTTGTTTATTCTTTATTTCTTCAACAATTTGGTGTCTACAAACCCACAATGCAACTCTTCTTAGAAAAGAAAAAGGAATCACTGGCCTTTTGCAAAATAAATGCAATCTTCCAACCTTTGGCTTATGCTTGTTTTATATTTGTGTAATTTTAATTAAAATAATTTTCTTTCAAAGAGTATATTTCAATCATATTTTCAGCTACCCATACTTTTCCCAGATCCTTCTTATCTTCCTACCTGTTCAATCCCAACTTCATGTTCTTTCTCTCTCAAACAAAACCAAACAGCCCCATCCCTCCCTAGCTCAGAAGCTATCTCCAACTGATAGCCACTTGTAAGTGAAAAAATAGTTTTCTCCAAGGGAGAAAAAAAAAAACTACTCTTATGGGTAGACTGCATGAACAGCAGTAGATGGCCAACACAAAACAAACTCCAAAGCATCTTTGGAGATTCTTTATGTCATTATGCTGTCAGGGAATTATTCTTTCAGCCTCACAGGTCCGTGGTGTACTATTATGGCTTCCAGTTTGGTGTTTTTATGAAACCTGTGTGTATGGAAACATGAATGACTCTCGGTCTATACGTGTTTCTTGTGCTTTTTCTATGGCTCTTTTTCTTGCTTGGTTGTTTTGTCCTATTCCAATTTGTTTGCTTTTTATTTATCTTTTTTATTTTATTTTTATGTCTTAGGTGCTGTTAGTTCTTAGCAACAGAAACAAAGAGTGTGGATCTGGATGAGGGGTAGTAGGGAGGAATTGGGAGTGATAGACAGAGGAGAAACTATAATTAAAATGTATTGGATGACAAAAGACCTAATTTCCATAATAGAAAAGAAAACAAGTAAAAACAATAAAAAAATCCCACAGAAAAACAAAAGTCAAAACAAACAAAAAAGACAAAAATATGTTAAAACAAATAGTACACACACACGCACACACACACACACACACACACACACACACACACACACACACTCATGCACACACACAACCACATGTGCGCAGAAAAATCATGGTTTATTGTTGGCCAAATGGACTGTGGCTGATATACCCAGTGTCACTCCATTGGATAAAACTGATATTCCCTTTGCCAGTGGGCATCAATTTAAAATAGCTTCTTGACTAAGGGTAGAACATTGTATCCACTGCCTCTCTAATTACTAGGACTCATCTGCTTAAACCTGTGCAGGTCTTGACATGCTGCCACAATCTCTGTGAGTTTGTATGTGCATCAGTCTTATATCTGGAAGACACTATTCCTCACATTCATATTTAAATCCAGTGATTTTATTATACTTTTATATATTTCTCATGTCTCTTTTTTCATTTTATTGTCTTCTTTTATATTCAATAAATACTTAATTCCATCTTTTGACTTTTCCTAGCATGGTTTTAAATTTATTTCTGTGGCTGTTGCTCCAGACACTGTGCTGCGAGTCTTCTGTTACCACAGCGGTGCAGAACAGCATGGGCCTCGCACAGTTCACTGCGGCAGCTGGCTGCGAGCATCTGCTTCCTCTCTTCTTTGTGTTGTCATCTATGCGACACCCAAATGTAACATGAATATTAAAAGGTCTTATTAATAAAAATAAGCCTGATCCCAGTTATTGGGGTGAATGCTGGAAGATCAGAGAAGCAGAACAAGCCACAGCTTCTTCAGCTCGTCAATTCCTCAGCTGATTCTGTTTCCTCAGACTGGAAGCTCCTGTGTCCTCATCTAAGTAGATCTCAGCTGAACTGTGCTGCTCAAAAGCCTAAAAGCTTAACCAGCTCTAGTTCCTGGTTTTCATGCCTTATGTACTTTTCTCCTTTCTACCATCAGCCCCTGGGATTAAAGGCGTGTGTCACCATGCCTGGCTGTTTCCAGTGTGGCTTTGAACTCACAGAGATCCGGATGGATCTCTGCTGCCCAAGTGATAGGATTAAAGGCGTGTGTGCCACCATTTTCTGGCCTCTGTGTCTATCTAGTGGCTGTTCTCTTCTCTGACCCCAGGTAAGTTTACTCGAGTGCACAATATTTTGGGGAACAAAATATCACCACACCCAAACATGATACAAACCAATATGCATATTAGAACCCCAGCTTCTTGAGTGCTTAAAGAGGTCAATGGAAAAAGTGAACAATTTTATTTGCATATTGTATTGACATCAACTTTTTCAGCCTTGTATATCACTGTTTGGTATTTCATGCGGGCTTCCCTGATAATGATGACCCCTGGACTCCTATGCTTAATCCTGTGTACTGTATTTTCATAGTTTTAAGAACCGGAAGTCCTCCAGGTATAGGTTTCTTGTTTAAGTGTTCTCTTTGAGTCATCTGACTGCGACATTTACTGCTTTCTGCTCTGTTGCTTTTAATGTGGTGTTGACTGAAAATTTCTTGGTGTGTGAATCACTCGTTTTATGCATTCTGTCTTTGTTTGGGGTTTCTAAAAGTTTGATTATTGTGGTTTTGACATTATTCTGAATTGAATTTTCTTGAGATTCTTGGAGCTATAAATTAAAGGTTGCTTTCAAATAAAATTGTAAGACTTTACAGCTTATATAATATGGAGAGAGAGAGAGAGAGAGAGAGAGAGAGAGAGAGAGAGAGAGAGAGAGAGAGACCTGAAAACTAAGGCCAGCTTAAAATGAGAGTTTGTGCTATTTTTGGAAAGACCAAATAAGTAAAAGATGAGCTCCTAGAAAACCCTGTTATTTTTAAAGAAAATCAGTAGAATGAGATGATTAAGTCAATCTAATGCACACCTAAGGTGAATTTGGTGAGTGACAGGAAACTGTGAAATATAGAATTCATGAATTCAGTACCATCGTAGCTCCTGAGAAAACAAAATGGAAGTGAAATTACCTAAATCATGTCAAAATAAAATTTTTCATATACAGAAACAAAATTCTTCTCTTTCGTAAGGCCCTTGAAGTGTTTAGCATAGTAATGGGAAAGATGTCTATACCAACTTGAGTTTTCATGAAATTTCAGAACCCTCTAGAGTTACAATAAAAAAACAAAGCTTCTAAAGATTAAAAAAATGCATCTCAGGCACAGTATGGATTTTAGATGATAGCAGAACAATGCCTTCAAAAATAATAGAAAAATAATTTCACCTAGATTTCTGTGTCCCTGTATCTTGATAACTCTGAGGCAAGTGTCACGATAACGTGAAGTCTGTCAGCTGTGCGAACGTTGAAGTCACTGGTTTTCTATATGCGCTCTCTCCAGAAACTCCTAGAGGCTGTAACTCAGCAATCTGTAGTCATAAGAGAGATTTACATAGTCTGAAAGACCCGGGGTGTCAAGGAACTGCCTCAAGGGGAGTCACAGCAAGGCACTCGCGTGTGCAGTAGGGAGTGTTCAAGCAGGACACCTGTGTGTGGCACTAAGAAGAAGCAGTCCTCCTGAAACCCACGGATCCTCATGAGATTTGACAGGTTACACCAGCTTTAATGGCTGTGCTAGAGAATAATTGATAGGAAGAAATTACTGCAAGGGGTTTGGAAGAAAGTAAAAGACAAATTGTTAGGAATTCAGTAAAGGAAAAAAGAAAAATATTATATTACTTAAAATGTAAAGGAAAGGAAAACAACACAGACAAGAAGAAATAAAAATTTTCAAGTAAAAGTTATTATTAATTCCTATTTATTCCGTCAGAATCTTAGCTGCAGCTCATTGTAAGGGGTGGGGAAATGTGCAGTGTGTATGGGGTACTACAAAGTCAGGAAGAAGTCAAACCAAATCAGTAAGTCAGCAGTCAAAAGTAGAAACACGTCATTCATACATGTGAAAAAATTAGGCAAATTTCAAAAGTGTCTTAACCCTGGAAACTGCTGGGTCAGGGTGAGTTGTGAAGTAAACTATCATACAATGTTCGTTTCATAGTATATTATCTACATGTACTATTTGTATGTATTTGACAAAAATAAAATCACCTTGAGAAAGTGTTTCATTCATACAATGCAATCTGTTTATGAAACAAAGAAGTATATAAAAGTGTCTGGTTTTAGTTTGATGCTCACACCATCAGTTAAAAGGCACCCAGATAGCAACTTCAGCAAATAATATGTTTTTGATCTAGTGTTTATATATTTTGGTGTGGATGCCTTCACTGGGGAATTCTTCACACTATCCTGTGGACCTCACTGCCCACTGTGCTGCATGATATTGGCATCTCTGTCAAAGGCACCTTCGGTTAGTTGACCTCCAATGCTGTTACCACTTTTGGAACCCAACACTGCACCCTCGTGGCCTGAAAGAGTAAATGCCCCTTTAGTGATTACCAAAGGCCATTTCTCTTTGGAACTCTGATTTTCAAAGGACTTAGTGGTAGCAACAGATCAGTATCCATTTTGTCTTATTTTAAGAATTGAACAATTTTACTCTGTCTAGATTTTGTGTTTTAATAAATTACAGCGGTGTGCAGCTACTAATTTTGAGTGAGAAGTGCAGTAAAAGACTGCTCCTGATTAGACCACGTGAGCTTCAGACAGGCTCTGCAGAAACCTGATTTCCTACATCCTTGTATACATGTTGAGATGCTTCTAAATACCAGTCCCAAACTTTATCTATGTTTTCTTACTCCTTCTGTCCCCCAAAACAGTATTGGTCTAAAGCCAGCACAATGGACCTGCTTCAGAATCTCTCTTGATCAAAACGTTATATGACGTGGAGACCAAAGCACCTTTGCAATACTTCCATTATAATGTCTAAAACAAAAAAGAATGCTGCACCCCCAAAACATTAGTATTGACCTTTTATTCAAATCTAATTTTCATAAGTAAACGTCATAATCTTTAGGCATACTTTTGTGAATTCTAATAAATCCGTCTGTTATAGAAGCACCATTATATTCAAGATACAGAATGGCCCCCAGGCATTTCCTTCCTCGTGGGCTAGCCTACTTTCTGCTAGCTAGCTTATGACAACCAATTATCTGAATGCTTTTATCATAGTTTCCTTGTCTGGGGTTCCACATATGCAGAAACAAATTTTTGCGTGTGTGTGTGTGTGTGTGTGTGTGTGTGTGTGTGTGTGTGTGTGTGTGTGGTGCATGGGGGGGAGGGGTTTCACTTATTTTACCATAATACCTCTGAATCTGTTTTTTTCTATGACAATAACCTTTGCTATTTATCGCTAGATAGAATTGTACTGTATGAATGTGTTATGATCTAGTAAAGTGTTTGCCAGCTGACAGACAGTTCCATTTCCCTCTTTTGGTGATAATGAACAAATTTTCTGTTGTAATTCAAATTACAATTTGTTGTTGTTGTTGTTGAGATATGTGAGTTTGCTTCTGACTTCAGAGCAAGCCAAGTAAATTCAACTTTAAAGATATTGCTAGATTTCTTTCCAAGCAGTCCATGATATTTTGAATTGTACCAGCAATTTAAAAAACTCTGGTTCCACTTTGTCTTTGCCAGCTTCTCACACAATTGTTTCTTTCTTATAAATGTGAGCCTTTCCAAAAGTTACTTGGTGACATTTTCTTGTAGTTACACAGGCACCAGAGGGTTGACAGCCTGGTTCCATGTGATTCTTCAGCTGCATTGTTCCTCAGTGTAGTGTCCATTAAACTCTTCCGCTTACGTTGTACAGCAATGTTTTTATTATCTTGATGTTGTTCGAGTTCATTTAGTACTATTTTGGAGTATTTTGTCTCAGTCTCTGACTTGTTTCTTCATTTTCTAAATAGTTTCTCTTCAAGATGCACTGCTGTGTTATGAGGTCCAGTCGGCAAAGCTAGAATAGTTTGAGCACTTCGCATCACAAGTAAGAATCCTCCACCACATTAAAGTCATGGTGTTCCATCATACATGTTTATATTTGTGTGTGTTCAGGTATGAGTACACATGTGTGAGTGTGTGAACATGTAGAGGCTAACAATCTCATGTGATGTCCTACAAGTACCAATTTTTAAAATTAATTTTTAATACTTGTGAGTATAAGTGATCCACAATCATTTCTTAAGCACATTATTTTCCCTTTTTTGAATAACCTTGCAACTTTTGTATAATGTAATTGAACATGTATGTTTGGGTATATTTTTAGACTCTGATTTCAACTATTAACATTTGAAATAAAAATAAATATATACATAATTTTACTGAATATCACATCATATTTTATGTGTCAACCTACTATGCATGTTATATTTAATTTTATTAGCTATCTTTTCAAAGCATGGTTTTTGTTATTAAGTATATTCTCACAATAAAGGTCCACATTGCAGATGTAACAACAAGCAGGATGGGATGGTGAGAAGGGAGCTGATTTGTAACTTAAGTGTACTTTGTCATCTTAAACAGGATGAGCGCTAACAAGAGGAGGACTAAATGCCCCTTCAGAATGGGCTCTGAGAGTAACAGCAGTGCCAGTGGCAATAGTTACCCGCAGCTGAGGTGGGTGGGGGGAGGGCACAAAACAAATATATTTGTGACTTGTCATAGGACAAAAGTGTTGCTTGATTATCAGAAAGGGAAGGGCGGGCCTCATCAGCAACAATGCAATAGTAATCCCAGAGTAAATGCCAGGCTTTTAGCCTGTCTCTAGCAATAAAAGGCTCCCGAGAGCATGTCAGCTTCCAGGATTGCTCCTGCCTGCTATTGAGAGGGACAGTAGCTGTCCAGCTAGTCAGTCTGCCCAGGGTTACGAAAACACGTCATGGCGAAGTCTGAGCTACAAACACAATAAAATAAAAACTGCCTTCTGGATACATCGAGCTATCAGAACACATCTCAGCCTTGCCTGATTCCCTTGTTGGAAATTGTCAGTGGACCCCTCATGGGCGCGCTTCCGCTGGCAGCGCTGTTCTCGCTGAACAAAAGAATCAAACAGAAACACCATTGTGGAGTGACTCCTTGTCCTAACCGCGCATGCCAGTCCACTTTGATCACAAGCTGCCCGCATTAGCATTCCGTCCTGAAGCAAAAGCAGGGCTATTCACACTGCTCAAGAGAAAACTTCCCGAGAGTCCAATGAATTACTGTGTTTGTTCAACAGTTGTCAGGTGTCCGAATGGTCCTAGCGGTAGTACAGTGCTGTGTGTTTTATGAGTGGCAGTTCGGCTGCTGCACAAAGAAGATCTGTCCTTGTGGGTAGGCTCTGCCCATCTTGGAAATCTGAACGCATCTGTAAATCACTGTTCCAGTGAACTTGGTGCAGCCTGATTTAAAATCACTCACTTTGATTCTCCGGGCTTCTTAGAAATTTTTGCCTAAAGTGCCGCAATAGTTAAGACGTTGAATGCAGATGCGGAACAAATGGTAAAGACACCTACAAAGAGAGCTGAGTTCACGGAAGGTCAAGGCAGAACTGAATTCACTCAATTACCATATTCTTTATTTTGACTTGAGGAAGCTTGGATAATTACCAAAGCTGATGGAGGGAGGCTAAGCTAAGTTGAGGGAGTTGTTGGGAGCTTGAGGAGTAACAAAGGCAGCAGGGAGAGGCGTTTGCACTGTGGCCAGGCATCCCTAAAATCAAATGATGGAGGAGTACAAACTCTCCCTATACGAACCACGTGTATCCATGCACTATACTTAGAGTTTGTCTTCTTCCTAAAGACCCCGTTCAGTAATTGCATCGGAAATGCTTTTATTTGTGCCTAGCTGTGAATTGGCATGGGTGTCAGTAGCTCTCTGTTTTCTTTATGTTTAAAGGACAACTTCTTTCGGAAGGCGCTACAGATGAAAACGTCTAGGTTTCACGTGAACACGCAGTGATATGATGTCATCCCCAAATATATAGGAAATCTGGACAAATTTCATATTTACATTTTTTTCCTAAACTATAGAAGGAAAACTAACAATGACAAATTGTCCTAAGTGCCATAGAGATCACTGAGGCCGCCAGGCTGACTAGGCCAGCGGGAGTATTACTCACTTGGTGAACCAGTACTTTGACTACACACTGTAACACTAAAGACAGGAGTTGTACCAAACCCTATACTCTGCCCAGTAAATATGTTTCTGCTTTTGAAGAGGAGCAGAGTGATTGGGCAGCAGCAGAGGACATCAGGCAACCCTCCAATGGAGGGCGCCTACTCCACGACACCCCAGCCCCTCTGCGGGTTTGCTCTGAACAGCACAAGGACTGGGGTTGGCTACGCTTGGTGAGAGGTCCTTTTAGGGAAGCAGTTATCAGGTGCCATCCAGGAGGAGAAGGTTGTGGTTGTCAGATTTTGCACACGCTGTTCAAATGTGTAAGCAGACCAGAGAAGTGTTTGGCCAGTTCACAAAGCCTGAGTCAGGGAAAGCTTTGCTGTTCCCATGGGCCTGAGGCATTGGGGTCCTTGTCATGTATGTGCCCATATTAATCACACATGCATTCAGAATTTCACCCACTCCCTACATCTCCCATTTCTTGTTTCTCAAATGCTCCCATGCAGCTTGACCTCTAATCCTGTGGCAGCTCTGCATAGCCTTAAGTAGACACTTGATGTCAACAGACTTCTAATACTTTGAAATAGATTTAGAAATCTTAACACTTTTTTTTTTTTGACTACTGGTAAAGTGGATGTCATCATTTGTGCTTAGCTAAAAGCATTCACAATTCCTTTAAAAAAATGCCCCCCCCCAAATTCCTTCTTAGTCCATCTGAAGAGATATATTATATTTTCTCTATTTTTTTAAATGTAATGTACTGTGGCTGTGGTTGTGTGCATACATGTGTGCATTCATGTGAAGTCATGAACGTGGTTTTAGGTGTTTTTCTCGGTTGATTTCCACTTTACAGAGGCATAATCTGTTGCTGAACCCAGGCCTTGCCAGTTCTCTTTGGTCTAGGTAGCCATCTTCTTCTCGGCATCCTTCATCTCTGCCTCCTGAGGGCTGGGATTATAAGTGACTTTCATACCTGCTCAACTTTCAAGTAGGTTCTGGGGCTCTGAACTCTCTCCCTCAGTTCTGACCTAGGATTTGAAAGGACCATGGTCTAGTCTAACGATCTTGAAATACTATGCCTATGCCATAAGGAAATTATATCTGGTCATGTATGGAAACCATGTTGCCTGTTGGGCTCCATTTGGTTGGATCAATCCAGGTTCCAGTCAGAAGTAGGACCTGGTTCTAACCCTCACAAAGACAACATATAACAGAAGGTGTTGTATTTATTTATTATTTTAAATTTCCCTATCAATTTTCATATTCCTTTTTTTTGAACACTTTCTGGTATATATCTATATATCATTTATCACACACACACACACACACACACACACACACACACACACACACTTTTAAAGGTAACTCTTTATTCTTCATTTCTGGGATGTACTATGTTTCTTTATCTTGTATTTGAAAGTAAGTCTCACCTTGGAGATCATTAGTTTCATTCTTAACTTTGAATGTGACTTTGTTCTATTCTACTGTGACGTGTTATATATAGACTACTCAGCTTGTGAATGATGTGCAAAGGAAGGGGGTAAGTGGATTCCAGCAGCTGTCAACCTCATTTAATTAAGATGACTTGTCATGTTAGTCCATCAAACATTGTGTTACTTGTATTCTGAGAATGTGTTTATTCTAAAACTTTATCCTATGAAAATGGACCAATATCACCTGGCTGAAAAAGTTGAGTTATCTATGTCTCAACTTCATATTTCTTTACTTTGAAATTCATTTTTCTCCTTTAACATGTAGAATGAGGTTGGCTGGTGACAGATGAGTACTTCTCCCACTCCCCCTGTTTTATATTTTTTTTAACATTATTTCTCCAGTTAGGACTTTCTCTATAGTCTTGTACAGAGGAGAATGTCAAGTATTCTGTTGGTATTTTTCTCCCTCACCCACCTCATTTATCCAGAAAGTGAATTAATCTAAGTGCATAGAAGTCTCATGCATGCTTTTTAGGGAAACACATGATGTGAAGCTCTGAAACATTCTGTTGAGCTTTAGACTTTGAAAAGACATGGATTTTATCCAAGTAACATGCAATTTGTCAGGCATTCTTGAGGTTTGCAGAATTTCATCCTACTGTAGACATAATTTTTGCTTTACCCCGCTAATTCTTTACTTAGGCAGAAAAATTAAATACACATCATATTATTCCATCACAATGGGAAGTTTTCCTCTGAGTTAAGCTATCCCTCATTATACGACTCTTCTAAGAAGAGAATGCAGAATTCCCATGACAGTTTTATTTTATTTTATTTCTTATAACATAAGAGGACAGACCCTAACATTTCACATGTACTAACAAGCCCTCTGCCCCTGCGCTATGGCACCAATCTGATTTGACTCTTATTTCCAAAGATATGAGAGATGATTCTTCTTCTAACAAATGTCATTCTAATGCATTTTAAAATTAATTTAATGTTTGTTGAAATGTTTAAATATGCATCACCATTTCATCCATTATATCATAAGCTATATTTAAGTGTTGTTTCCTCTAAATGCTCAATTTGATGTTTTTATTTAATGTGAACATACTAAAATACTTTGACATTTTTTTATGGACTCAATAATAGTAGTGTCTGCCAAGGAATCTTACAGATTTATTGAGTTACTTTTTGTCTGATATAATCTATATTGTGAGCTGTGAATTAATGTACGTCTTGACCATTTTCAGTTATGGGACTATTAACTCTTTCATCAGAATCTGGAGTTTAGTGCCTTTGAATGGCTCTTTCATCCTCACATATTAAAAGATTGCTCCATGCTTTGACAAGAAGGAAGTGTTTGCAGCTGAATTTCACATCCAGGTCCTGTGAAAACGATTCTTTGGGTTGAACCTGAGGAATGCTTTTTATCTTTCCTGAGATGACCACATGGCTTCTCCAAGTTCATGTCAGGACATGATTATATGTTCAGAGATGCAGCTGAAACCAGCCTCTTAGCTTGCTGCTTATCTTTGGAAATCCAAAGAGTTCCTACTGCACTGAAGTACAGTTTATTGAAACCATGACTTAATCTGTCTCATTTCCTGCCTTTCTTGATGCTGTTTGGCCTTATGTGAGACCTTATGTAAATGAGAATGACTGCAGGGAACTTCCTGTGATTCATTCAATAATTTATCCATTCATTCATTTACTACTTGAGCAAGCATTTATTGAAAATCTGCTTTCTGCAAAACATTTGGCTTGGTCCTCAGTAATAACAGGACCATATGCAATATTACAAGCATACAGTATTACTGCCCTTAAGTACACAAACTTCATAAAGCCAATAATGAATATTCTGGGGGAAATAATGAATGCCCTGGGATTTGTGGTGCTCCCTACCTGTGGCAAATGCTTTGTTTATGGGAAAACAAGTAAATTTCCAAGCAAATAGTTACTTTGTCTTGGGGGTAGTGTTAAAGGAAGATTGCCTTTAGCTGATTAACTTAACTGGATTTTTAGAGGAATGAGGTTATTAGCTGGGATCTGAATATCAGGATCAAAGAAAAACAGTTTGTCTGTAGCAGGTCTCTTACCCATCCTGATTAGATGTTCCATAAAATCATCAGTGTGTAGATAACCTGAGGTGTTTAATAACAGCATATTTCTTTTACAAATTGAAGCATCAAAGACTTATAATAAGGCTGAGTTAGTGTAGAAAAATAATAAAAAAAGCAGTTCTCAATTATCACTTAATAAATTTCATTTGTATTTTAATTTACCTAATTGTTTACTCATTCACTTAGTGTGACTACTTCCAACATGTTATTTACTTCTTTGTTCACACTGAACAATACTAAAATCTGAAGCTTAAAGTTTAAAATTGGGTCATCCTAAACCTCACTGGTACTAAGCGATGAAACTGCTATCCAGAATGAGTTTGAGCAAATTCCAGCCTCAAATTCTACACTCTACAAGAGAACTCTGAGTTAGGAAGCCATAACTGTGATACTAAGAATTGTTGTTGCTTTGTGGACCTGGCTTCAAAACTTTGCTCTAGCTTGCACACTGACATGGCTACTGAAAGAAGTGTGACAGAGTGTGAAGAAGCCCTGTCATTAACATGTACTCACAGGAAACACTTACCTTTCCTCTTGTTTTTCTATAATAGGAGAAGTAACCAGGCAAGTGTGTTGCTACTTTGTGGCAATGAGTAGAAACGTTTGTGGTGGGCTGAAATGACTATGTATTTATGTTTATGTAGAGAGACACGTTGGGTCATTTGAAAATGATGGGATCACACTAATGGATTATTTGATTTTTCTAGAGGAGCCAGAGACACAAGTTGGGAAGTGAGATACTGTGATTCAGAGGAGGTGGAATACAAGGCATGCCTGAATCCTGAGCCCTGCATTCAAACCCCAGCTCTGGCTTACAAGGCTGTGTTCTTGCTGTTAATTGCTCCAAGCCTCAAAGAATGGAGTTTAGACATCAAGCTGTGTTGAAGCAAGCATATGAAGGATGCAATGTGACTTGGCAGCCTGTGAGATGGGCAGTTTCGGAGAACTGCCTACCTTGCAATGTTTAGTAAGGAGCAAGCGAAGCAAAGTCAGATAAGGCTTAAGTGGCAAACATTTAATGAATATTGGTTATTTATATTTCTTTAGTTATTATCAACTAAGTACTAAATCATAACTAAGTACTAAATCATAACTAAGATCATAAATAGTGCAGACAAAAATATTTGTGTTAAAAATCATTTATATTTCTACCACTCTCTACATACTTTATATATCGATATATCAGGTGAATGATAGCCTCAGTAATTAGGACACTAGCTTCTCATAAGGATGACACATGTATTTATATAGCATGTTTTTCCTAAAGTATGTTTTGCTGGAAAAATAGACTTCTTAAACAAAAGAATGCAGCTTTAACTAATGCAATGCTGTTTTTTAGAGGATGATAAATGAAATTAGATGGTAAAAATAGATGGTGGAAGAGGACCCCAGTAAGATCATCCACAGTGGTCCAGTTTGCATATTAACTGCTTAGGTCTCAGTCCGGCTGTGGTTGTGTGTGTGTGTGTGGTTTCTGCGAATTTGTTGGCCCACCTATCTTTGGATTTATACCTAAGTTTTACGAAATCAAGGTTTTTATAAGCCAAAAGTACTGAAAACTAGAGTGATCAGGTTCACTCTACAATGGTATGGAACAAGTCAGTCAGACTGCCCAGTTTTGCAAAAAAACAAAAACAAAACCAAATAACAACAACAAAAAACATCATGGGGGTTTAGTGTCATGGTGGTACTAATAGTTCGGTAGAAGAAGAGTATAGTGTTCTAACATCTGGTGGATGAGGAAACATGCAATGGTGACTAACAAGAGATGAGAGCTACTTGGCTGGCACAATGGTACCCAGACGATGCCAAGCAACTCGGCATGCGAGCATAGTGTAAGAGAATCTGTTTCCTCACACTCATGACATTCCAGAGTCATTCAGAAGTGATGGGAAGAGCTTTGAAGAGTGTGGAATGAATCTTTTCTAACTGGGATAACAATGATGCTGGTAATAGAAATGCAAAAAGACAATTGAGGAAAACAAAATCCCAAGAGGTTAGCAAAGAGATGCATCACCAAACACTGAGGAAGATAAACAAGGCTTAGGGAAGGGGGCACCTCTGTGGTTAAGAGGACTTGAAAATGTGGGAATGTCTACAATGAACAAATAAAAACTATGACAAAGAATGAGATAATTTTGAAAAGATTTTATTATTTCTTTTCTATGTATTAGTGTGTGTGTGTGTGTGTGTGTGTGTGTGTGTGTGTGTGTGTGTGTGTGTTGCTTTATCCATCTTTAGGTCCAGATGGACATTACTTAATTTGAGGTCTGTCCTGACTACTCCAAATATTTGCATCATGGAATCCGTGTAAAGACTATGCATTCTGTTCCTAAAGCTGAAACAGTCGATTCAGTAAAGCTTTGTATTTTCTAAGAAAATTTTTAAGAAGCTTATTCTACAAAAAACAGCTCATTTTTATTGTTTTTTTCTCAACAGTGATTTTTCTTGTGTCTTTCTGCAGTTGTGCAGAACTGTGGTCCAGCATAATCCCTCTTCGGTACCCTTTTTCTATCACGAGGCTCCCATTGTCAGCAGCTAACCACTTCTGTACTTGGACCAGCTTTCCACGCTGCGAGGAAGCCAGAACTAGCTAAGTGTTAAATTACAGATAATTGTTTGTTTTACACATTGGCTTCCACCTGCCCTTGTTCCCTTCAGCAATTGTTCTCTCTGGCAGTTTCTCAAAGTGTGGATTCAGAACACCTGCATCACAGCTACTCAGCCTGTCATTTCAAATGCAGCTTCCTGAACTGCTGCATAGCTCATGGATGAAGTTCTCTCTGGATTTGTCCAATAAAGTTAGTGAATGACTGCCATTGGCTTGACTTGGAACTCTCTGCTTTTTGTTTCTATTTTGTTGTTTGTTTGTTTTATGTTTTCTTTAATTCTTCCCTTTTGAACATTTGCCATTTTAATAAACATCTTGACTCCCAAGGATCCAATGCTGGATTTTTAGAAATTGTACAAAGCAGTGATTAAATTTGGAAATGCAATGATGTTAGAAATACAAAGTCAAAGATAAAAAGAAAATGTAAATAATAACAATAATGCAGCAAAAGAAAGGAAAATCAAAAATAACAATAATAATATTCTTCAAAGATTCAGCAGAGACCTGTCAGTGCACAGTGAAGGAGACTAGTCAAGGGCGGCTTGCTATAATGCTATATGGACCCCATGCACAGAGCAGTAGAACAAATGAGCAGACATGGAAAGATGAAGAAGAACTCAAACGCACCTTCTAGTACTGCTCAGGGGAAGTATAATATGCACCCAAGAGACTGGCAAGGGACTGGTGGAGGTAGACTGAAGGAAGGTACAGTCCCTTGTACCTTCTCACGTAGCCATACTCACGGTTCATATTGTCATCTGATGAGTGTCTGTGGAATTCAGATTGGCTATAAATTTAGGATAGTAACTCCCACACTTAATTGGGTCATATGGAGTCAAGCCATGCAGGCAGGGTTTATTCAAAGAACCATGTGTGCTAAGGAATAAGAACACAATAGATGCTACAACTTTTACTCTTAGGGAGCCAATTTGAATGGATACATTAAGGAATAGAAATCAGAAAGACACTAAGGAGCAGAAATATATTTAATATAGAAAGGGACTGGGAGGTTTCCCAGCAACTGGGCCTGGAAGCAAATTGAGACCAAATTGTTAGTATGTTTTATGGATGCTCAGAGGTAAATACTTTTCTTGGGTCTGTACATATTCTTGAAAAGGTGTGGTTTGCTGTAGTAACATTTAGCTGAACTGGAGCTATCTTCCCCAGATTCTTCTGGCCTGTGTCTCGGATTCAGATTGCCCTCAAGAGAAATTCATGCAAGTGTGAATTGCAGAAAAGAAATGACAGTCACTATAATCTTCTCAAGTCAATCACTGGAAATTAAGGCCATAAATCAAAGGCTCACTTGCTACTCTGGGTTAGGACAGACTTGTAATTTCTCCATCCTGTATCAGATCTATGTCATATTCTCCAAGTCCTAAACTAGAATGTATGCAGATCTATGGCAATCCCCTATGCCTAGCTAAATACAACAAAACAACAATCATTTGGCAGGTTACTTATGATGCCAGACTTGAAAAGGATAACAAACAATTGCATTCCAGTTCTTCTAGGCTGTGTTTGCCTCACTCCCCCTACAGTTGTTCTCCCCAACTTCCAGTGCTTCTAATAGACACTGATTACAGTTCACCACATGCTGGATAAGTAACACTTCTTCACCAGCCTCCACAATAGTAGAAGATTTAATACATATTTTTAAAAAAGGCTTTCACTCCTTATCACTTATGGTTCTGGTTTCCAGAATAAGCCATAACTAATACCAAAGTAATTTATCACAGAAATAATGAGATTAAATCTGTATATTAACATAATACTTGTAGCATGGAAAATGGATTAGATATAGAACAGTGATTTAGACACACTAAACAGAAAAAAAAACCCACAACCATTTTCTTTACAAGTAAAATCTTATTTTAAACCCCACAAAGAATGAAGGGTGCTCACTTGCAAGAAATAGTGGTTAAGTATCCAGGGAGCTGATTGTCTCACCTCTGCCTGCCCTCCATCAGTAATCCAGCCAAGGTTCTGAGCACACAGCTAATCAACTTATTCATTGGAGAGGTCTCTAGAGTTATTCTACTGAAAGGTAAACTGGTGTTGAAGGATAGAGTTGAATGTGAGCAGGGAGCAGGGACAAGAAGTATTTAGGGATTAAAGCTAACACTACTTTAGCTATGAGTGTCAAGGAGGGGGCAAGGCAGAAATCAGGGGTGTATTTTAAGGCCAGCAGACTAATGGGTGATGATAGTGTTTCATGAGACAGCACTACAAAGAGTCATGTTAATTTGTGCCGTTCACAGGTGTTTGTTTACTTATGTGAGCATGTGCAGAAACATATGAACTAGAGTTCAAGACAGAGGTCTTGAATAGAGTCACTACTTCAAACTATACAAAGATGAGATGATTCTAACTTAGGGGGAATTAGAAAAGAGGAGCTAGAGCACACACACAGACTATGAAACTCCAGCATTGGCATGGTCATAAGAGCAAGGCACACTTGACCTGCATACATAGGAAAATTAGGAAAGACAAGTCCATGATGTCAAAAGGAGACTTTCAGGAAGGAGGAGTAACAGTGTAAAATACCCAGAATGCAAGAGTCAAGTATCATCCTTCCAATTCAGGAACAACATCGCAGAGTAACATGTGAGATGTGAGGAAGTAGGCAATGTGAGCTGTTTTAATGAATGAATGAAAGATAAACTCAAAAGAGGCAGTGTTTAGAGGGACAAGAATAAATGAATGATGACTAAAAAATGTTGGGTTAAGGGTACAATTTATTATTTTTAATTATTTTTATTATTTATTATCAAGTTGGTAACGAGATAAGAAATAATTTGAGTGATTTACGGTTGATTGAGTTGGTCAAGGTTTTCACTGAATTTCAGCCTATCAGTTCCACTTGTAAATACCTTCCTCCAGGAACAAGTGTTCCAAGCTCTCTATTGCCTTCAAACTTTTAACGGTATTCAGAATTAAGTAGATTTTTTTTCTTCTCTGGCTCTTATGTGAATCTTTCCCCTCTGTTTTATCACCCAGTAAAAAACCCAAACTGGCTCTGGGATGTTCACTGCTCACAATGACAACCTTGACTTCCAAGTTATCTATTTATACATCTCTGATTCTGTATTTTTGTCTGTTGTGTGACTTTTCCTGGGAGGACGTGCACATATGTCTTTCCCCCTCAGATAGGGCACTCATGACGGAGCAGAAAAATAAAAAATATGAGAAAGGGAGAGAGAATTTCCCTCAACACTAGTGTAGTGAACCAATAAGTTTATTAGGACTTCTTGCAGAAACATGGATGACTCAAAGGAGAATGGATGACTAAGGCAGCCAGCTCACTCACTGAAAAGCTGACCACAGCACATGGTGAGGACTCACAAATGCTTGGTCCTTGAATTCCCTGTATAGTTTCAGGATGCTTTGTTGACTGAGGGCCTCTTCTCTCCCTACAGTGGTTACTGTTCTTTTACAATCACAATCATAGTAAAGTCTCACTTCCCAAGTCTTACGAATCTCTTAGGAGTAGTGTTTCCATTGGGGGATATAGCTGTATTCATGACGTTATTTAATGCTTAGAAACCCATGGGAGATCTTTTCATAGATAGTAAGATTCACCCAAATTAGTTCTTCAAATATCCAAGACAAATAAACACTGGGTCATTTTGAACATTTTAAGTAAATAAAATGTTTGCAGAATGTAAGCACAGAGCCTGGCACACAGAAATCACTGGGGTGGTGTTTTAGTGCTAATGCCGTTTCACATAGTTAGAATCTAAATCCAGTATGGTTCTATTATTTCTCCTATTTTCACAAAATTTGCTTTAAAAATAATAACAAAGAACCACCCAAATGACTTCATCCTTTCCTTTGGCTAATAGCCTGCAATCACACAGAGAGGTCTCAGAAAGAGCATCTGCCAGAGCTTAAGCAATTAATTGGTGGCGGACCCTCTTCTCATCCCACCAATACAAAGACACATGGAGAAGTCAGTGGTGTTTACTATGAAAGTAGAACTTCTGGTCTTTGGTTGATTCACAGTGATAGAATTTTGTCATAAGGTAACTAAGAAAGAAAGATGTACTGTTTTGAAATTTTGCAAAAAGCATTTTCCAGATGGGAGAAATCTGGGTTGATTTCTGTTTTGTTTGTGTGTAGAAGAAAATCACTACAAGAATAGAACAAATGAAAAGACAAAAGAACAAGAATCACATCATTACATTATATGAAATCAGCCTAGGATGGGTTCTGTTAATAAACCACAGAAATGAAGGAGAAATGGGGCTAGAAAGACACTTCAGGTTTTAAAGATGTTTTGACAGGTACATATGAAAAACAGCATTGGTCAGTTCTAATAGGAAATGTAACATTATTAAAGTCCATTACAAAGAAAATGCTAAAAGAGATAATGGCTTTAAGATTGCTTGCCTGTTAATAAAAATGCAAATCTCCGTGATTGGAACCTCCGGTCATCTGACTGAAATCTGGGCTCTGAACCAATGCACTCCACTGAATCCTTAGTCCTTCAGTAATCAATTCTCAGACACTGTAATCACCTTCTGGCTCCCTATTAATTATCATCTTAGCAGCCACAGACAGGAGCAGCAAGCCCTCACAATTTCGCAGCATGCAGGCTGTAGGGATGCTTTTTAACCCAAGCAGTTCTTCATACTGCAGAAGATTTCTTCCTTGAATTCTTAGCTGAATAGCTTCAGAATTCCCAGCTTAAGAGTTGGCCATGGCATTTCCAAGAATCAGTAATTAAACTATCTATCCCAGCTGCCAGAAGTTTGATGTGACCCTGGAAGGGCATAGTGCTGTCCAAAGCCTGGTGGTAATAAGAACAGAGTGGCCAAGACCACTTGACATTTATCCATCAATCCATCCATCCATCCATCCATCCATCCATCCATCCATCCATCCATCCATCCATTCCATTCCATTCCATTCATCCATATCTATCTATCTACATAGATGTATGTGTATGTGTATGAGAGATAGTTGAAATAAAACTCTATGGTTCATATTTTAAAAGAAAAGGGACAGCCAAGTCCCTCTGGTTGGTTCATCACACTAAGAACATGGTATTTTCTACAAGCTTCATTGCCTATGAATAATTTTCAGGCTTTTTTGTGTCTATACACAATAAAAAACTATGGTAATATTTTATTTGTGCATCCCAATAAAGCTTATCTGAGGATCAGAGGAAAAAGCCAGCCACTACAGTAAAAATAGAAGTCAGGTAGTGGTAGC